AGAAAAGGCTGAAATATTCAATGATTTTTTCATCTCAATCTTCAGAGGCAAGTCAGCTCCCAGACTACTGCACCAGGAAGTACAGTTGGGGAAGGAGGTGAGCAGCCCTCAGTGGTGAAAGAACAGATTAGGGGCTATTTAGAAAAGCTAAATACATGAATGACAGATGCCTCTGGAGGCTAGGCGGGCACGGTGACTGACCACAGATGGCGGCAGCGATGGTGGCGGTGAGTGGTGAGCTTCCGCAGGTGGCCACCGTGGTGTCAGTTTCAAGGTCAGGGGATGGGTAGTGAGCACCGACCAGCAGTTGACAACCACCTGCAGATGCCACCAACAGCGTAGGCAGTGGCCAGTGGTGATCAGCGACCACACACAGATGCCGCTGGCAGTGTTGGCGGCAGGGGGGGGGAAGCAGCGGTAAGTGGTGGTAAACCAGCAGTGTCAGCAGCACTTCTGTCAGGGGGTGCACCACCAATCTCAGGGGGTGCACATGCACCCACGTGCACCCCTTATGCATCGCCAATGGCTAAATGTGTGAAAGTCCATGGGGCCAGATGGGATGCACCCAAGGGTGTTGAAGGAGTTGGCTGATGTGTTTGCAAAGCCACTGGCAATAATCTTTGAAAATTTATAGCAATCAGGAGAGGTCCCAGATTATTGGAAATGGGCAAACATAGTGCCTATATTTAAGAAAAGGAAAAAGGAGGATCCAGGGAACTACAAATCAGTCAGCCACACCTCAGTCCCTGGAAAAAAATAATGGAGTAGGAATCCATGAGTGTAGGAGGGCTATTAGGAAGGCCAAGGCAGAGATGGAACTCAGGCTAGCGTCCAGGATTAAGGACAACAAAAAGTCCTTTTTCAAGTACATTGGGAGCAAGAAGAGGGCACCAGGCAATGTAGGGCGCCTGCAAGTCACAAACGGTAATCTGGTGGCCATGCCAGACAAGAAAGCTGATATTTTTTAAGTTTCTGTGCCTCTGTTTTCTTGAACAGCGATCGGCATATCCCACCTACCAGAGGTAGGGACAATATTGGGGATAGCTCTATTAAACCTTCAGTCACAGCAGACAAGGCCTGTTCTCTTGTCCTCTGATCATATGGGGCAATCAGCATAGGTTCATCAAAGGCAGGTCCTGCCTGACCAACCTGATTGCCTTTTATGACCAAGTAACTAAATCCTTGGATGATAGTGTCACCATGGACATAGTCTTTCTAGACTTTAACAAGGCCTTTTACACTGTCTCTCACCCCATCCTCATCAATGTCAATAAATTAAGCGACTGTGGCATTGATGCCTACACAGTTGGATGGGTAAAAAATTGGCTGACAGGGCGCACCCAGAGAGTAGTGGTGGATGGGTTGTACTCAACCTGGTGAGATGTGAGCAGTGGGGTATCCCAAGGCTCAGTCCTTGGGCCCGCACTGTTTAACATCTTCATCAGCGACTTGGACAAGGGGGTGGAAAGCACACTGTCCAAGTTTGCTGATGACATTAAGATATGGGGTGAGGTGGACACACTTGAAGAGAGGGAGAGGCTGCAACTAGATTTAGACAGACTACAAAAGTGGGCAGATGAGAATAGGATGGGGTTCAACGTAGACAAATACAGGGTGCTGCACTTTGGGAGAAGGAATCCACAGCATACATAGAGGTTGGGGAGCTCCCTTCTTGAAAGCACAGAGGTGGAAAAGGATCTTGGAGTCATTATTGACTCCAAGATGAACATGACCCGCCAATGCCAGACCGCAGCCAGCAAGGCCAGCCAGACCTTGTCATGCATCCAAAGGTGCATCTCAAGCCGGTCCAGAGAGGTGATACTCCCCCTGTATGCGACTTTGGTCAGGCCACAGTAGGAGTACTGCATCCAGTACTGGGCACCAGACTTGAAAAGGGATGTGGCCAGCCTGGAGAGGGTTTAGAAGATGGCCACCCACTTGGTGAGAGGGCAGCGGGACAGGACCTATGAGGGGAGACTGAAGGACCTGAACCTGTTCAGCCTCAGCAAGAGGAGGCTGAGGGGGGACCTGGTGGCTACCTACAAGCTCATCAGGGGAGATCAACAGCAAATAGGCAGAGCTCTTTTCTCCCCAGCACCACCTGGGGTGACAAGAAACAATGGTCATAAGCTGATGGAGAATAGGTTTAGGATGGAGATCACAAGGCAATATTTTACAGTTAGGGTGGCCAAAATCTGGAACCAACTTCCCAGGGAGGTGGTCCTCCCCCCTACCTTGGGCATATTCAAGAGGGGGTTGGATGATCACCTGTCTGGGGTCTTGTGAACCCAGCATTCATTCCTGCCTGTGGCAGGGGGTCAGGCTAGATGATCTGTTCAGGTCCCTCCTGACTCTAGCTACTATGGTACTATGATTTCAAAGCACTTGGAGGAGAACAAGGTGATTAGGAACAGTCAGCATGAACTCACCAAGGGCAAGTCATGCCTGACTAACCCAATTGCCTTCTATGATGAGATGACTGGATCTGTGAATGCAGGGAGACCAGTAGACATAGCATACCTTGATTTTGTGAGGCTTTTGCTACTGTCTCCCACAACATTCTCGCAGGCAAGCTAAGGAAGATAGGATAGAAAACTGGTTTGAGCATCGGGCTCAGAGGGTAGGAATCAATGGGTTGATGTCTAATTGGCAGCCGGTATCAAGTGGAGTACCCAAGGGGTCGGTCCTGGGGCTGTTTTTGTTCAATAGATTCATCAATGGCATGGAAAATGTCATAGAGTGCACCCTCAGCAAGTTTGCAGATGACACCAAGTTACAGGGAGTAGTAAATATGCTGGAGGGTAGGGCTAGGATTCAGAGTGACCTCAACAAATTGGAGGATTGGGTCAAAATGAATTGAACGAGGTTCAACAAGGACAAGTGCAAAGTCCTGCACTTAGGACAGCACAATCCCATGCACCACTACAGCCTGGTGACTGACTGGCTGGGCAGCAGCTCTGCAGAAAAAAAAAGAAATCCTGTGGGCTACAGTGGACAATAAACTGAATATGAGCCACCAGTGTGCCCTTATTGCCAAGAAGATTAACGGCATACTGGGCTGCATTGGTAGAAGTGTTGCCAGCAGGTCAAGGCAAGTGATTATTCCTATCTATTTAGCACTGGTGAGGCCACATCTGGAGTACTATGTTCAGTTTTGGGCCCCCCACTACAGAAAGCATGTGGACAAATTGGAGAGAATCCAGCAGAGGGCAATAAAAATGGTGAGGGCCTGGGGTACATGACTTATGAGGAAAGGCTGAGGGAGCTGGTCTTATTTAGTCTAGAGAACAGAAGACCAAGAAGAGATTTAATAGCAGCCTTCAACTACCTGAAACAGGGTTCGAAAAAGGATGGAGGTAGACTATTTTCAGTAGTGGCAGATGACAGAACAAGGAGCAATGATCTCAAGTTGCAGCAACAGAAGTAGGTTAGATATTAGGAAGAATTTTCTCACTAGGAGGGTAGTAAAACACTAGAACACAGAGTCAGATTATGACATGTTGGGGCCCTAAACTAGGGGTTCCCAACCTTTCCATGACGTGGCCAGGCAAGTTGAGGACCGCAAGCAGCTGTGGCCCAGCAAACTGCAGACCACCACGTGGAGCCCTGTGGCTGGAGTTTCTGGATGGAACACAAGTAAAGATACTTACACCCCCCTGGGCAGGGGGGTGGGCCCATATCTCAACCATGGCTGCCGCGGGCCCCGCAGAAGGAGTCACAGCCTCCCCACCTGGCTCTGGTTTGCTGGTTTGTGGTCACTTACGGTCCAGCAGCTGACCCTTCACAGCCCAGGCCCTTGTAATTTGAGGCTTTAAGATGAAGTTTACTTAGCCTATGCCTAAATCCAGCACTGCTGGAACAGATTACCCAGAGAGGTGGTGGAAGCTCCATCATTGGAGGCTTTTTAGACCCAACTAGACAAAGCTTTGGCTGGGATGATCTAGCTGGGAATGGTCCTGCTTTGAGCAGGGGTTTGGACCAAGTGCGTTGGACTACATGGCCTCCTGAGGTCCCTTCCAAGCCTAATTTTGTATGAGTCTATGAAGCTCATGAGGCAATTAAACTGAGAGCTGAGTGAGCCACAGAGGTCACTAACATTCCAAATGAGCTTCAGAGTTATCAGCTGGGCTGTTGTGGGTACCACCTGACACAAGACAGGACACTCATTACCTGCAAAGCTCCACCTAAAACCCACCTCTCTACCATAGACATAGAGCTAGGAATTGGCACTTGGAATTCTGGTTCCTATGTAGGACATGAAGATCTCATATCATCCTCCCCTTCCCATTCTGCTGAGTGATAGGAGTGGCTTTGTCCTAAGTGAGAGGGGACCTTATACAGAAAAGTTAAGGAATGACTGCTGTAACCAGTAGTGTAACAAGCAGGGATTATGCTTTTGGTAAACCATGTAGGAGAGTGAGGTTTCCAAGAACAGGGGGGCAGGGGGCTGGCTGGCATGCGGGAGTTCTGAAAGTAGCGGGCAGGGCTAGGTTAGGGGTCACTGGAGTCTTACACAGTCTCCAGCTGCTGCCACTATGTGCTCTGTCCACCACAGTTCTTGCTCTTGAAGCTACAGCAGCACCGTCGTGTCCATGCATTGGCATCTGCTGCAAGAACAACACTGTGAGGCTGCTCTTGCTTTCAAGGCACAGACTCCACGGGGTTGGGGGATGAGTTTGGCATCCCTCTTAAGACAGCTTCCCAGGCTGGTACCCCTCTTGTCCACCTTTAGTTTCACTAGTGGTTGTAATCACAGCACATTCTGACTCCCACATGTCTGAGATAAGCCACATGACCTGACAGCAAACATGGTGCCCTCAAATGCCCTCTCCCACAAGTGAATACCAACATCATGTTTTTTTTTTCTTTTCAAGTTAAGCTGTTTCACTGCCAACTGTAAAGGGCTGTTTTTAATTGGGATTGCAATACGCAGAAATATATTTTCCAGAAAACCACACCTCACACTAACACAAGCTATAGAAGTAGACAATTTTTTTTTAAATGGGCAAACATCTTTATTAACAATCATAGCATAGTCTATGACTGTAAAACTTGTCTTTTCTTTTAAAAAAAATATTTAATCTTAAATTATTTGTGTTTGATATAAATTAAATAAAATAAATTGTTCTCTTTAACAATAACATCTTCAAATATACCAACATTCCTAAAAACAATTAAATACAATTATATTATTTCCCTGAAAGAGGGATTGCTGCTGTCAGAAGCCCAAGGCATGAGGAATGATGGTCGGTAAGTGCTGTAGTGAGGAGCTGGTCAGTTTCTCTCAAGATGTTTCATGTAGTCCTGGACCCATTTTTCATTGGGGTCAGCACAGACTTCCCGGCCTTTCTTAGTGGTGAAGCTGAAGAGAGAACAACACAGTTCAGACTTCTCAAAAGGAGAAGAGATAAAATTGATCCACCAGCCCCAAGACACAAACTACAGATGGGTTGTTCATAGAGGACTAGATGGAATCTGTATTGCCCAATGCTCCAAATAGCAATGTGACTTATTTAATCAAAAAACTCAACTCCTCTCCACTATAGGAAAGCTGATCTCTGCTGGACTGAAGCACACATACCGAGTCTGGTCCCAGTGAAACAAATGGCAGCAGCACTCATCA